CTATTTACACACTCAACCTATAAAATTTGAGTATGTACGTTCAATTATTGTCAACTTGGTCGACCATTGTATATGAAATGCTAATAGATCTAAAGGAACTATTACTGAGCCAAAAGGAGTCGCCGCTCATATTAGCATAAAAGGGATACTGACTGAAGATTTTATTGAAAAGAATGTGAAAGTGATGCTGAATGGCTGAATACAGCGAGCGCGTTGGTGGCCTCCTGACGCGCGATTCCAAAACGGGCATCAAGCACAATGCACAGAATAAAAAGTCCAGAAAGCGTCTCGACCATATTTGGGACAAGGATCAAAAATAACACCCAAAAGGATCGAAACTTGAAGAATTAAGGAACGACTATAAGGAGAACAGCACATGTCACATTTAGAGATTCTCTAGTGTTTATGCAGAATCGGTGAAAATGGGCCAAAGAAGAACAATCCTTCAGATAATTGAATCCATCACAGTTGTAGGGTTCTAAAAGGATACCGTCTCCCAATAAAGCATTTCTCAATGCGCCTTTCGGAAAATGAATTGAAAATTCTGGCTGCAAATAGTATTTGCTGCTTAATTACCGGTTTACTTGTTATTTGCGTTAAAGGAGTTTCCTTAGATTACTCAAATCTATTCACATCATTTCGAAATTCAAACCAATTTATCAATTTCCTTAATGAGACGGACCCACGTTGCACAGTCGATAAGTAGTGGATAAAATGTGCATGCAATCATTATGACTACGGTAACACATGGAATTAAAGCATGCTCGGACAATTCCTCGAAAAATTTGGCAACGATTAGCCACAATAAATGAATAATACTGTGTAGGCAGTCCACAAATAGAGGCAAGTGAGCTCACGAGCACTTGAAAGACCAATGAGCATGGGTACGCCGAAGTACTACTGCGTCCTAAAAGAGGTAGAAAAGGCATTTGAAGAAATGAAATTGAGCAAAATTTAAATATTAACTAAAAGCCCACATACGAAGCCAAACAGTGTGATTTACAGGTACGAAGTCAGAGACAACATCAACTTGAACGGTGCAAACTAATGAACCTATAGATTTAGTTGTGAGAAAATGATTGGGATCGTCATGCTTGTTAAACAGCCTGGGTTGGCTGTGCAAGGATTGAATGCCATGCCATGGGTAATAGTGGGGCACAGTATGTTTGTAGAATTTATCGACAAGAATATGCGAAGGTTAAGGGAGATTAAGGACATCTGATGAATAAGTGAAGTTAACTTACCACATCTGAACTTCAAAAGGTGCATAATTTTCCCTAAATAAGGTATCGTAAAGCTCAACCTTAGGACCATTCAAAAATCTGTTGGGATTAGCATTCTGAAATGTCTTATACAGTTGCGAGCTACGACATTGTACTCCACAAAACACCCATCAATGTCTATGAAAATGATGCTTCATGGTATAGCCACGTATTTTGGTTCCTCGAATAGCAACCTAGGGCCTGATAACATGACTTCAAACAGAATACTCATTCAATGCAGCTTTAAGGAAATGTGTAATTGCGACCAGCTTTTTGGATTTTCCAGTTAAAATTTAGTTTTACCGAGGAATTTTTGCGGGCATGATGTAGAGGCCTGAGTTGACGTCTGTGGCAGTGGCATTTGATTGGGACGTTGGCGTCTGTTCGGATGAGTTTGCAGCTTGTACTGGCTGGAGTGGTGGCATCGGACCAGCGGTGTTGCTGCTGAGCTGAGGCATTTGCTGCATGACAATTCGATGCCGATTCTGCCAACAAAAATACACTTCATTAATATGACCGAACACGCAAATCAATTTCCAGTCAACTATATTTTGTTCCACTAACATTATCACCTTCCCATAGGTATGAGAAAATTTTTTTTCAAATTGCAGGTTAACTATTAGTTTGCTAGGTAAATAAATTTTGCACATATTTGAAAGCACGAAAAGTAATTGTAATTTTATTTCGAGATTTCTGATAAAATGCTTGAGACACAACGACTGAGCGGAGACATTTAATAAATCATAAGCAACCAGAACTAACAACTTTTCTTTTGCATTGTCTCGGATACATCTGTCATCTGTGTTTTGGAGCATTTCTGGTCTCGACAACTACCTCCTACTAGGTCGTCGAGGTGACAAATACTTTTGAACACTGATGTACAATCGGAGGTAGTGATGACAAACGCACACCCTGCGACTGTTCTTTTGAAGTATCCAGACCGCATTAGAAGTAAGGGAAGTGATGACATAAGTCTGAGGTCTTCACATGTATTGTGCGCATATAAGTAAAGTGCAGAATAAGTGAAGTATTCTGTATCTTCTTGTAAGCCTTTTGACAGTTCCGAATTTTACGTCAAAACTAACCTGTTGGATTGCGTAAATATCCTGCTCCTATTTGGACCAGCAGTACATATCCTAACAAGGAAGGT